ATCCAGAAAACCACATGTCATTTGACAAACTCTGCACTAACAAAAACCCCAGACTACTCTAGCTAGTGAAGTGCCCTCACTATTCACCTGAGATGTCACCAGCTGCACAAAACTACACGGCACCTGTCTTTGTCCCCAGAGCAACCACAGCTGAGTCCTGGGAAAGGGACAGGAATGGGGTTTCATGGTCACAGCTGGACTAGCCTCAAGTCACATGCACCTGATTTTTTAAAGATGAATCTAGTGTGGAGCTAGGTCTTGTTCTCAGGCCCCAAACCCAGGGTCTGCCCTGGCAATCCTTTCTGAAGGCATTTTCTGGGAGTTCTGGACCAAGGCTCTCTGCCCCTCTCCCCGAAGTTCCCCAATTCAGTCCTGGGTCCTGTCACCTCCCCGCCCCCAATCCAGGCAGCTTGGCCTATCCCTAGGTACCTCCTTGCCTTTCAACTTGCACTTTTCACACCTAAGTTTTAACTGAAGGGCTTTCTGTGTAAAAGGAGGCCCAATTTCAAGCTATCATGAAAAATGAAGGGACTGGCATTTGAAAAGCATTTTTAGGTGCCAAAGAATAACCTCCTCAACCCATTTCCAGCACAGATGCGATCCCGCCAGTCTCTCCTAAGTGGTCTCAATAGCTCCAGCCCACATTCACTGAACAGCTTGGCTCTCATTCTATCACTATAAAAATCAGAAAGAAAGAGGCTTTTCCTGTGCCTCTCAACAGGGCTTTTGTGCCTGTAATTCCATCCATTTGAGCATTTCTCTAGCGCTCATCACTGTCACACATGGGAACGCTGAAAAGGGACTCCCGGAGATGGAAGAAAGGTGCTTAAGCCACAAGGGTTTCAGAATAAAGGATCAAGCTGTTCTGAAGATATTTAATTTTCTGTGAGGGCTGAAATGTGACTTGAGTAACTCAATTAGCATTTTCTAAGAAGCCACAGGATTATGGCTTTTCTCTCTGAGGCTAAACTAAGCGAACAAGAGTCAGACTTGGACACAGGGTTCCTCAGAGAAGCATCTTTCTTACCAGTCCACCACTCCTATTAGTCACTTACATAAATCACAGGTTTAGTCATTCAACAGACTCCACCGGAGTTGAGCTCCTAACACACAGCAGGTAACGAGAGGTACTGGGGAGAATATTGCAGAAGAGGTTTCTTACAACTGCACACACACTGTGCACTGTGAAGTGACCAGGACCTCCCCAGAGCCTGGGGCCATAGACTGAGGAGATCCAACACAAGCTTCAGATGGCTTCAAAGTCTTGTGGTTATCTTTAAAGTCCATAAGAGCTGTGCATTTACTCCGTAAAAGGATTTTTTCTTTCCTTTTAAAATTGAAGTGGAGTTGACCTACAATATTATATTAGTTTCACGTACACTACATAGTGATTCAACATTTATATACATTATAAATTGATCACCGTAAGTCTAGTAATTTGTCACAGTACAAAGTTACTGCAATAATATTGACTATATTCCCTATGCTGGACACTACATCCCCATGACTCATTTATTTTATAACTGGAAGTCTGTACCCCTTAATCTCCCTCACTTATTTCACTTACCCCCTAACCCCCCTTTCCTCCCTGTTTGTTCTCTATATCTGTGAGTCTGTTTATGTTTTATGTTTGTTCATTTGTTTTGTTTTCTAGTTTCCACATATAAGTGAAATCATACAATATTTGTCTTTCTCTGTCAGACTTATTTCACTTAGCATATTACCCTCTAGGTCCATCCATTTTGCTGCAAATGGCAAAATTTCATTCTTTTCTTTTTTTTTTTTTTTGCGGTATGCGGGCCTCTCACTGTTGTGGCCTCTCCCGTTGCGGAGCACAGGCTCCGGACGCACAGGCTCAGTGGCCATGGCTCACAGGCCCAGCCGCTCCGTGGCATGTGGGATCTTCCCAGACCAGGGCACGAACCTGTGTTCCCTGCATTGGCAGGCGGACTCTCAACCACTGCGCCATCAGGGAAGCCCTCATTCTTTTTTAATGGCTGAGTAGTATTCCATTGTATATATATACCATTCATCTATCAATGGGCACTTAGGTTGCTTTCATGTTTTGGGTATTGTAAATAATGCTGCAATGAACATAGGGGTTCCTTCTGGCTATGAAGTTTCTGCTGAAAAATCAGCTGATAGTCTTATGGGGGTTTCCTTGTACATAACTAGTTTTTTTTATTGCTGTTTATAAGATTCTTTAACTTTTGACATTTTAATTATAATGTGTCTTGGGGTGGGCCTCTTTGGGTTCATCTTTTTGGGGATTCCCTGTGCTTCCTGGACTTGGATGTCTGTTTCCTTTGCCAAGTCAGGGAAGTTTTCAGATATTATTTCTTCAAGTAGGTTTTCTGTCCCTTTCTCTCCCTCTCTCTTCTTCTTATGGGACCCCTGTAATTCAAATGTTAGTATGCTTGACCCAGAGGTCCCTTAAATTATCTCATCGTTTAAAATTCTTTTTTCTTTTCACTGTTTTGATTAGGTGATTTTCACTATTCTGTCTTCCAGATTGCTGATCTGTTCTGCATCCTCTAATCTGTTATTGATTCATTCTAGTGTATTTTTCATTTCAATTATTGTATCCTTCAGTTCTGATTGGTTCTTTTTTATATTTTCTTTCTCTTTGTTGAAATTCTCACTGAGTTCATCCATTGTTCTCTAGAGTCAGTGGGCATCTTTATGACTATTACTCTGAACTCTTTATCTTATAAATTGCTTATCTCTGTTTAATTTAGTTCCTTTTCTGATGTTTTGTCTCGTTTTCTCATTTGGAAGGTATTCCTTTGTCTCTTTATTTTGCCTAACTCTCTGTGTTTGTTTCTATGTATTAGGGATGTTGGCTAAATCTCCTAGTCTTGGAAGAGTGGCCTTACGTGAAAGGTGTCCTGTGGGGCTCAGTGGTACAATCCCCCCCTGGTCACCAGAGCACTGCTGTGGGCACGCTGATGCACGGGACTGGCCTCAGTGCAACTGACTTGGAGGCCAGTCTGGGACTATTGTGGGTGCTCTGTGGTGCGGGGCTGGCCCCCTGGAGTGGGAGCCACTTTGGAGGGGTGCTGGTGCCAGACAGGGATGCCCAGAGGTTGGGGCAGGGCAGAAAGTGTTTTGGAGGGACCAGCTGGAGTGGGTCCTCAGGGGAAAGTCAGGGTGGGGCACACAGTGTTAGACAGGTTGATGGACAGTGACAGAAATGGTGCCTGCCAGTGGTTCCATCCCCAGAACCCTGCCCCTCCAGCACACACCTTAAAATTCATCAGTGAGTCTCCTTCTCATGTGACCCAAGCACTTTCAAGCTGCTGCCTCTGTGCTGGGAGTCAGAGTGAATGAATGTGTGTGAAAGCCCCTCAGGAGAGTCTCAGTCTCCCACAGCCCTTCCACTCGCCTAAACGTAAACCTTATTGGTTTGCAAAGCCAGACATTATGGGGGCTTGTCTTCCCAGTACAGATCCCCCAGGCTGGGGAGCCTGATGTGGGGCTTGTAGCCCTTGCTCCTCAGGGGTAATCTCTGTGGCTGTGACGTCCCTCCTGTGTGTGGGTTGCTGCACTGGGGGTGTGGGTTGGACTAGACTGTGTCTCTGCCACTCCTGCCTGTCTCACTGCGTCCTTTGCTTTCTATTCTTAGTTTAGAAAATCTGTTCTGCTAGTCTTCAGGTGGTTCTCAGAGATAGTTGTTCTATAAGTAATTGAAGTTTCGGTGTGTCCATGGGAGGGAGTGAGCTCAGGGTCTTCCCATTCTGCCCTCTGGATGTGGACCTCTCCATAATACACATTTAATGCAAAAATAATCTCCCTCTGTTTCCTCAGAATGCTACACCCCCTTCTCAGAGGCAGGAAATGCAGTGTCTGAAATCAGGCACCGTAGGCCCATCCTTGGGCCTGTTTAGTGCCTGGCTGGGGCAGAGGGTGATGAATTGGGTGACTGGCCTCAGCTCAAGGTACCACACATTTCTAATTACCCAAGATCAAGTTATTTTCCATGGCCATATTACTATGGCCATACTGAAAATATTATTATTTTTCATAATTACATTATAATTGGTTTCTAGCCCAGTAAAAACATATGGTAAAAGCAAACCAATATGTATTTTCATAACCTAAAGGGTTCCTAGGTATTCATTCTGTCCCTGGCCCATTGGCCAGCACAGGTGTTCCCCACATGAGCTTCTGAAGGGCAGGAGGCAGGCGTCCCTGCCCTGAGACAAGAGGCTGGTCTCTCTCAGACTCTGGAATGATCACCTCAAGACCATTCCCCTGGGACTTCTTCCCTGGCGGTCCAGTGGTTAAGACTGTGCTTCCACTGCAGGGGGCGCGGGTTCAATCTCTGGTCAGGGAACTAAGATCTTGAGCAGCCAAAAGAAAACAAGAAAAAAGACCACTCTCCTCTTCCCCTGCCCCATCCACCAGCCATTCCAGGTCCTAAGGCTTGATGTGCCTTGAGGTTAATTCCCTCCCTCCTTTCTACTTGTCCTTGATTCACTGAGTGGAGGGGGACAGAGTATGACCAACCTCCAGTCCCACCCAGCACATAGTAGGCACCACACAAAGCACTCTTCATAAAAAGTATCTCCTTAACTAATTAGCGGTTTGCATCTAGAGCTTCCCATTCAAGCTGTATGTATGATATAGGGAAATAATTACTTCTGGTAAGAGCTCTCTACTATTTAGCGAGGTCTTTTTCCTTTCTTTTCCCGTTTAAAAAACTAATGGAAATAAGGAAAACATCAATGGCCTCAGTTCAGGGTACCACATATTTCCAATTACCCAAGACCTAGTTATTTTCCATGGCTGTATTTCTGTGGCAATACCAAAAATATTATTATTTTTCAAAATTATATTACTATTGATTTTCAGCCCATTGAAAACATCTGGTATACAAGTAAACCAACATATATTTTTATAACCTAAGGAGTTCCTAGGCGTTCATTCTGCCCCAGCCCTTTGGCCAGCATATGTGTTTCCCGCGTAAGCTGCTCTTGGTCAGCGCTTGGCCAGCCTACCTGTCAGGCAGATACCCCTGGTGCTGTTGCACAGGTCCACCATCACTCGGATCTGCAGGAAGAGAGAACCATTAATAGCGGTATGGTAGGCAGTGGACCCTGAACTTGCCCTTTATTCAGACAAGCAGAAAGCAATGATAAAAATTTACAAAATAACTTCAGGAGAATATGTAGAAATCCGAGGAAAAGTTAACCTAAAACTGAAAAGAAACCCTTAAACGATCTAAAGATTTTCTTTATATCTGCAGCTCATCTATCAACATTGTCAACAGAATCTCCTTGATTTCTACCAAACTCTGAGAAGGCCGAGGATGGGGAAGGCATCACCAAATCTACAGCCAGGCTGGCCCCCACAGTGTCTGAAGGGCTCAATCTGTGGGTCTGAATAAAGAGGACTGGTGAGCTTAGCAGTCAGAAGCAAACACTTAACTATCTGAGTGAGTACGGGTGAGGTACTTAACTCCTTGACACTTTGGTTTCCTCTGAAATTGTAGATTATATGAGTAGCTGTCTTGAGGGTTAGGCAGCTCCATGTCTGGCATGTGGAAACTGCCCTTAGAGGAGTGATTCTCATGCCATGTGGACACTGCCTACTTGCCACTGGATGGCCACCTGGAATACACGGTCACTGCATTGTGGTACCATCCTGACACCTGGTTCCCACACACCACTTTACACTCCTCCCCCCATGCATTTTCCACGCTGCTGCTAATGAGCTTCACAAAACCCAAATCTGATCAGGTCAGCCCTGCTTCAAACACTTTTGTGACTCCTCGCTGCTCTAAAGATACAGCAAAATTCCTCCTTCTCCGGCCTTAGCTCATACCATTCCCCCCTCCCTTTCTGTTCTATAGTTCCACTCTGCCTCAGTTTGCTCATTTGTAAAATGGGGATATTTGTAGTACTTACATCTTAGGATTGTTGTGAAGCTTTAGTGAGGTTATATGTGAAGCTCTTAGAACAGTGCCTGGCATGTAGGAAGCACACACAAAAGTGTTTTCTGTTTTGTGGAGGCAGCAGAGAGTGCAGATAGAGGCATGAATCCTGAAGCCAAACTGCTTGTGTTCTCATCATGGCTTTGCCATTCACAAGCAGTGTGACCTTGGGAAAATTACTTAACCTCTCTGTGCTGCAGTGTCCTTGTCTTTAAATGGAGTTAACAGTACCTACCTTACTTAAAGCACGGTTATGTGGATAAATGAGTGAATACATGCAATACTCTTACAACAGGGCCCAGCATATGATAAGCAAACTCTATTTATGCTACTGTTTTGATGGTTCCTTGGATATGCCTGGAATGACTTAGTTAATTTATCAATTTACCATCCAAGAATTTAAAATTTACGCATAGAGCAATTTTTAGACCCAAATAATGTGGCATTTCAAAACTGTGGGAAGAAACATTATTAGTTGGGAAATAGAGTTGAGACAGCTGGATAGAAATGTGGGGAAAAATTAAAAAGATGGATCCCTATTTCACTCCTCACACTAAACAAGTTAAGTGAGCCCCATTAATCAAAAAATTAAAAGTTAAAAACAAACTAGTGAAAATACTGAAGGAAACCTTGGGAAAAATATTTATAATGGTATTAGCGTAGGAAAGATTTTTCTAAGAAAGAAACAACCCTCATGCTATATATAGGAGAAACGTGATAAATTCAACTGTCTAATAATTAAAATTTTCTGCAAGAGGTAAAATACTACAAACAATAACAAAGGAGAAACACAAACTTAGAAAAATAATTGCAAAGGGCTTGTAAAGAGCTGTTACAAAGCAACAAGTAAAGGGAAAAAAACAAAAACAAAAACAAAGGAAAATGGGCATTGGAACCAGGCAGAAAGTTCAAAGAAAAAAAATAGTGCATTATCTTCACTTACAGTTGAAGAAAAACATCAAATTATGAGAGGCATGGACATATATACACTACCAAACGTAAGGTAGATAGCTAGTGGGAAGCAGCCGTATAGCACAGGGATATCAGCTCGGTGCTTTGTGACCGCCTGGAGGGGTGGGATAGGGAGGGTAGAAGGGAGGGAGGGAGACGCAAGAGGGAAGAGATATGGGAACATATGTATATGTATAACTGATTCACTTTGTTATAAAGCAGAAACTAACACACCATTGTAAAGCAATTATACCCTAATAAAGACGTTAAAAAAAAAAAAACTACTATATATAAAATAAGTAAGCTACAAGGATATATTGTACAGCATAGGGAATATAGCCAATATTTTATAATAATTATAAATGGAATATAACCTTTAAAAAAACATCAAATTATGAAATACTATTTTTACTTCTTAGGTTTGCTAATAAAAAGAATAACAGAGCACTTCTCACAAGGGTGTCAGGAAAGTAGCACTCTCATATTGTGTTGATGGAAATGTAAAGGGATACTGCCTCTTTGGAGGGCATTTTGACAATATCTACTAAAATTTAAATGGATCTACATTTTGACTCATCAACTACACTTTGAGATTTATTCTACAGATACACTCATATACGCATGAGAAGATGTAAGTACAAAGATGGTTGTTGCAAAAATGTGGGCAAAAGCAAAAACTAGAAACAACCTAAATAATTATCAGTGAGGTCTGGTTAGAGAAATTGTAGCATATTCACATAAGGAAATACTGTGAAAAAGAGTAAATTTAAATCCATAAAGCTGATATTGAAAGATCTCCAAGATAAACAAAAAAATACAAGGTACAGAGCAGTATGTATAGTGTCCTTTCATTTATATAAAAAAGTAGTACATACGAAAATGCTACTTTATGCTTCTCTCTTGCTGCTTTCCAGATTCTCTCTTTGTCTTTGACTTTCTAGAATATTTCTGGAGAGAAACCTAAGAAGGAGAACTGAAACCTAAAAACTCCTCCTCAAGTAAGGAGCAGTAGAGAGCCAGGGTCAGAGGGAGCTATATACTAAGCATGATTGGCCCTTCTGTTTTATTCAAAATTTTTGCTGATTTCTCTCTCAATTAAACTCTTTGTAAAAAGAACATGTTTTGGTTTGAAGGGAATATTTGTTTTGTCTTCTACCTAGGTTTATTTTGTTTGCTAGGAGATCCAGAGGGAAACTTGTACGGTATTTACTTTTTGTGAAGTGTGTCAGCAGGTGCTTACTAACTGCTTTAGAAATTTATTGTGAAATATATCATACATGTCACAAAAATATGAAAGGTGTGCCAACAGTTTAAAGATGAATAATAAAACAAACATGTATACACCACCTTCAGCTAAGCAAGGCTTTAGAGCATCCCAGGTGCCCCTCCCAAAACACACCCTTCCTCCCAGCCACAACCCCTCCCTGAGCTGAAGTATATTGGGTGGTGAAACTCTCCCTTTTGTACAGAGAGCAACAGAGAGGCTTAGCGAGGTGAGGTCATTTATCCGGTCACACAGCTTGCTCTTGGAAAAGACAGGCTCAGCTCCAGGTTTCCTGATTCCAGGTTTACTGCACTTTCTATTATGGCTCTGATGAGTATCTTAACGTAACCAGAAGAAATTTCGATTCACTGTGTTTAGTCATGCTCATAAATTAATGCAATCAGCTGCACTACAAAATTTATCATCTTAAAAAATGTATAATTGTCCATTGAGAGGACCATTAGAGGCTTCACAATGCTTCATTTGTTGCCTGGGGGATCACAGCAGAAGGAGTAGTTAGAAACAACAGAAGCATCAATAGGGAACATTAACCTTTCTCTCCTTTATGCTCATCACTGGTCTGCACTTGGCACAGCTTCTATAAAAAATGGTGAAGAAGGAGTTTTCATTTCCTGATCTTTTGGCTTCATTCATATGCTAAAAGTTAATTTAGATATTTACCAGTAAATTGTGTTAATCTTCACTCGGGAATATTCTTTTAACAAACATGGTCTATGTAAGATTGTACCAAGGTAAAACATGGTATGAAAAGGTATGGCCATAAGAAAACCAGAAACTTTTTTTCTTTTCCTGATAATAATGATTAAGAGTTTGGAAGAAAATAAGAAAAGTCAAAATTGAAAGTCACAAAATCTAGCTTGTCAAATTAAGGAGTCATATTTGGTATACAAGGCTTCCTAGATCTTGATTTAGGATTTGAGAACGGTGAAGCTGGAAGAGGCCTTAGAGCTCATTGTCCTGGGGGTGTCAGGCAGGACCCATCCAGGACGTGGCCCTGCCCCTTCTCGAGGCCATCTCCCCCTGCTCTCCCCCATTGCTCTGCTCCAATCACACTGGCCATCATCACTGGTCTTTGCCATGCCTTATAAGGCATGGGGACTTGTTTTCAGCTTTGACAACATATGGCAGCAATGGGAGAAAAGACAGCCAAAATGGGTCCCATTAGTGGCCTGACCAGACCTTCCAGTTTTCTCTCTGGATGCAGAACTGGTCTCACTGGATCAGTAGAACTCATGGGATCTTAGGAAATTCATGGGCAAGGAAGGGGCCCCTGAAGAAAAGTAATGGACTTCTTGCTAATCTGGCATCAGATGGCTTGAGCTGGCTCTAATTCAAACTAAAAATAGATGGGACTAATTTGGCAGCCTCTATGAGAAAGAAAATGCTATGAACTGGGAATCTCACTTTCAGGAAGCTTATACAAGGATATCTGGGCAAGGATGCTTATTGCAACATTGTGATGGCAAAAAATCTAAATGTTCAAACCAGATGTGTTTGTGGCACAAATGTGTGGCATGCAAAAAATCTAAATGTTCATCAGTAAGGCACTTGTTAAACAGATGAGAAAGAATGAAGTAGATCTATATGTACTAATCTGGAAAGATGGCCTTGGCATATACTGTTAAGTGATAAAAGCAAGGTGCAGCCCAAGCTATATAACACAATACAACTTTTTGGTTGAAAAAGAATATTTAGATATGTCTGGATAAGCGCAGAGAAAAGTTGGAAGGCTCATGAACCAAAGCATTAACAGATTTTTTTTCTCCTGGAGACTGAGACTAGGAGATAAAAGGGGGATTTTCATTTCTTAGTTTGTATTGTTTTAAAAGATATGTTGGGATTATGGGTGAATTTTACTTTGCTATGCTTTTAATAATTCAG